TATATATATACTAAAATAACTCCAACTAAAACACAAATTATAAATAAAAATGACAAAACACAACAGAATTACTAAAATGGAAAATATAAAAAAATAAATAATTCAGATTTTTAATACAAAATTATAATCAGTGATGCTAAAATAAAAGCCAGGGCCTTCTTGTGGTGAGGCAACAGTGCTATCCACTTTATTACCCCATTTATTATTTAATTTAATTTCATTTCATTTATGGATAAATTGGACCAAATTGGGAATAAAATAGTAGCTAACAAGTGTCCATTATACTGTACGTGGGACCTCCTTCAATTTTGTTAAAATGTACAATATTATATAACAGCTGTATGACAGGTGCATATTCAGTGCGTATGAAGCTCTTTGGAACTTTTAGAACCAATAAATATGGATAATAGTAATAGTTAAGGAAGGAGAAAACATTTGACTGCTACTGTAATCTTTTAACCTAAAAGAAGTCAGGACAAGGGTGTGTTATTGACCTGAACACAGACTGTGTGGCTTGTAAAAATACATGATTCTTTACTACATATCGACAAATTCTGATGTTTCCATCCATCTGTCCTGGCCAAAACATTCCCTCTTTCAGTTTATAACACCTCTACTTCTGTAATTGTTTTTGCTCCACAGAGTATTGATTGGCTGAGTACAAATGAAAGGTGATTGTGTCTAATAGGATTGTGGCTCACTTGGACACTGTACAAGGTTAGTCTCTGAGCAGGTGTATGATGGGAGACATCATGCAGCGTCGACTTCGGCAATGCAACTTTCATTAGTGTGGGATTATCCGTATTAGCTGTTCCCATATTCCCACCAATAATGAAGTCTAATTATTTCTCTTGTTGCTCCCCCAAAGCAACAAGAGATGGATTTTCCTGCAGCAGCAGGAGTGTACACTTCCTAAAACAACACAAGAATATGTCAACACATTGGTGAAGGACTGTATGCTTGCTAATTACCACCTCGCTCTCAATATCTAATGTGGGACAGTTCATGACAACTGTGATGATGCATCACCCTATCAGGCTACTGTATCCCTTTCCGAAGACTAATGCAATTAGAGTCCTGTCTACTTATAATTCAGCTGAACTCTTCATCGTAGGCATCTTGTTATGAGGTCAGGCACTTGCACTAGTGTATTTCCGCCAGCCATTGTCTTCTGTTTATTTTCTAAATTAACGGGTTAACCACTTAATGAAAGTGGCGGGATGCTAATTAGGCATGGCTAGGCAAGATAATACGATACAACATCATTCTGCGAGCACAGATTAACCAGAGGCTGTCTCCTTATGTTTTATCTGACCTCCTGTTACTGTATGTAAAACATTTCTAATCATTTTTTCTCTTTGTCTTTACAGGTGGAAAGAGAAATAGCTATTCTGAAGCTCATAGAACACCCTCATGTTTTGAAGTTGCACGATGTCTATGAAAATAAGAAATATTTGTGAGTATATGCCACTATATATGCTGAAAAGATTGTGAGGGTTTTGGAATGAAAAACATTATCAGCTCATTCAAAACCGTAGAAATCAGTGAAAAGTAGAAAAACTAATGTACTTACCAAACCAGTTCAAACACACAAGCACACATGTATACTCACACACTTGAGCTCTGTTATTGCTCCTTATTTGTTGGGCTTGCTACTTATTCATTAAGAAAAGGTCATGTTATTCTAAGGGCTAACATTGGAGGAATATATCCTGCCATTAACATGTGACAAAGCAGCTCTGACATGGGCCAAGAATGGCCTGCGGGAGAAACCTGATCGCACAGAGAGTCTATTTGATTTAATATGTGATCATTAAGCATTTTTTTTCACCTTTGCACTCACTTCGAGCACACATTAATTTTGGGTCTCGGCACAGAAGATGCTTCATAAGCAGTTTGTTCTTTCCAAATTGGCAAGGACACATAATGCAGGTGAGACTAGCGGTGGCAGCACAGGGAATAATCAAAGACTCTGCCAGGAGCAGAAACAAGCATCCTGCCTCTGAATGATTACAGTGATTGTGTAAACCCAATGAGAAAGATCATGTGCCGTAATAGATCAGGGAGAAGCTATCTCTCTCTCTATAGTTCACGAAAGCTGAGCTCAAAGCCATCTGCTAAATAAAGAAGAAGAAAAAAAACACTGAGAGAATGTGAGAACGAGAGAGAAATGTTGAGAGAAGGTTGCCATGACAGGGATTGATACAGTATATAAGGCAGTCAGTAAGACACAGATTAAAGAAGGAAATATTTCATTATTAATTTAGTTTTTTTTTTTTTTTTTTTTCGATGTCTATGAAAATAAGAAATATTTGTGAGTATATGCCACTTTTGTTTATCCATGCACCATGCAATGCATGAAATGAGTGTGTATGAGTGGCGGATAAACTCTGTATCTATACAGAAGAGCAGGCGCGCTGATATCCCTGGATATGTACGCATGCTCCAGTGGCTGGGCTTAATGTAATTTTCAATAATTGATAAAGGAGCCACCATGGATGCAGCTGAGGAATTTGTTTTCTTAATATTCAGATGACACAGATGTATAGGCTGCATGCTCGTAAAGTATTTGCCTATGAACATCTTTACACACACAAATCAAGTATGAATCCATCCTTAATTTAAATATTTCTGACAGGTAATCGCATGAGAAAATCCTTTAATCGACTAATAAATCAGACGTCTGGTGTGTCAGTGAGTGTTTGCGTTTGTGTTCAAATGTGACTGGAGTCTGCATGTATCTCATGAATACATGAATGCGTGAGTATGTCATAATTGTGTTTGCCGATCAGACAGGCCAATTGCAGGAAGATATTTTGCACACATTTACACGTTCACTCAAATGCAGTGGAGTCAAACATTCTGAGACTTCATTGAAAATGTGGGAAATGCATTTTTTCTTTTTTTTTCATTTATACCATGCGGTGAACCGAAATATTTGGGAATTTTAAACATTATGATGTTTAATAGATTATTTAAATAAATTACATTATTCAATTTGACTTTTACTCAAGTTATATTCATAAATGTTGTAATTAACAATTATGTTAAAAAAAAAAAAAAAAAGCAAAATAGAAGCATGTTCACTAGTGGTTTCAGACTATGCTTTGATGGTGATAAATTGACATGTCTCTCTCTCTCCCCCTTTACTTGGGTCGGCCATGTTCTAGTTTCGGAGTGACATAAGAGATGTGGAGAAGAAAGGCTGCAGCCACATGGTTAGAGAGATAGTGTTTGTATGGAACATGGTGATTGAGCCCAAAGAAAGGCTTGTGTGTGTTTGTGATTCTGCTCTTAGATCTGAGTCTGACTCCATCTGTAATCATATTAAATGTTTTTGATGGTGTTAACGTATCCCACCAGTCAAAAGTTTGGAGTCACTTGATTCAATTTATGTTTGTCATGATCTTACGTTTTGCCCTCAAATCTTGAAATTAGTTTTGCAGAGAAACAAACTGTGCCAATGGATGGATTTCTTCACTACAAAACATACCATTTCAATTTATATTACATCCATCCACCCATTCTCCAAACCACTTGTCCTATGTAGGGTTGTGGGGAGGCTGGAGCTGATCCCACCTGGATCGAAGCAGGGTAATTATATTAATTAACTAAAACTGAAACCATAAAAATGTATTTGTTACTTGAAATTAATATATA